AGTCCAGGACTGATATTCTGACTGGAGCCAGAGCTTGGGAGCCCACAGTGGTCTTGACCCGAGACGCCTGGCGAGGAAGCATCCTCACAGATTATAGTGCAGCAGAGGAAGTTTATTTATGGATGTGGGGAGAACATGGCAAGGGCCCTTGGGCTGGCTAGCAAAGGGGCAATCAGCAGAGATTGAAAACACTACCCCCAGTCCAGTCGGGGAGGGATCAGGAGCCAGAGAGAGGGCAGCTCCAGGAGAGAAAGCCTGATGCCTGGGGTGGGAGTGCCAGGCCTCCAGGGAGAGACGATGTCAGAAATCTGAAGTAGTGTGTGGATGACCCCACCAAAACCCCACACTCAACAGAAGTGGGGCCTCCATCACTGCCACCTCCTCAGCTGTACTCAAGACTACCTGCCCAGGCCCAGCAAGCCGACAGGCCTTGACGTCGACTGCCTTTGCACTAGGGCCCAGCAGCTCCTCACTCAGGGACCCTCAGCAGTGACAGCAGCTCCCTCTGTTCTTTGTGTAGAGCCTGAAACCAGTGGATGAGAGAGAACACACATGTGAGGTATGAGAAAGGCAAACTCTGTCAGGCCTGACTCCAACCTGGGTTTCCACAAGACGGACTGGGTCTGTAGCTCATGGCACTACTTTGGCAGGGCATGCCAGGGGAAAGGCAAGTGGGAAGCCCAAACATCTCAGTAGCAGTCAGGTACTCTGGCCACCTAAGACAGGTCTCTCTAGGGCAGAATCCACTTTCAACAAGGTTTCCCCAAAGTGGTACCAAATCCTTTGACCTCACTGGAGCTTTCCAGAAACTTTTTCCCACCAGTATAAAGAATGGAACCCAGGGCTCCATGTATGTTAGAAAAACACTCAACCACTCATCCTAGCCCTAAGTCAACTTTCAGCTGGGCTGTAGACATGCAAGAGAGCCCTGAAGCTCCCGCACAGGGTCAGCACTGAACAGTCCAGCTGATGTGCTTCAGATAGGACCAGGATTTGAGCTGTGGCTGTGGGAGCAGAGGTTTCAGTCCCCAAATGCCAGAGCTGGTGGGTTCTAGGGACCATGATCTGGATGATTCCTTATCCAGGGACCAAAGGGGAGTTCTGTGCAGCCTTACGGGGATGGAGTGACTGAAGCACTGCTTGCCTAAGGACTCTGCAAGGTGGCTCCAACTACTTGAGGACCAGTCTGTGACACTAGGAGACTGGAAGGGATGGGGAGAGGTAGTGGAGCAGGCTAGAAGGGTCTGGGAACTTTGATTTTGGGAAGACACTCCTCTCAGGAGTAGAAAGATCCAACCTAGGAAGTGGCTGTCTACTAGCTACTGGTATTACAGATACAGGCTGTGAATCTAAATGACAGATGGAGAGAATCCAACAATACTGTTACTACTCTATTCCTCCTGAGAACCTTGGAACTGCATTTTGAGCCACTAAGAAGCCATCTGATCTCTCCAGTCACACCTGCCACCTGTACCATCCAGCTTGATGACCTCTGTTCCACTTATCCATTCAAAGTCCCTTGGGACCACTTTCAGAAATTTAACTTTCCCCTCAAGGGATACATACTTGCTGGTGCCTGTTTCAATGCACTGGGGGGTGTGGGGTCATTCCACTGCACAATTTAAGGGCACTGACATGTCTGCATGGAGCAGCAAAAGCACTGGATGAAAGCCAGGAATTGTGGTACACGCCTTTAATCCCAGCACTTGGGAGGCAGAGGCAGGCAGATCTCTGTGAGTTCAAGGCCAGCTGTGGCTACAGGAGACCCTGTCTCAAAAAGACCAAAAAAAAAAAGCACTGGAGCTGCACAGGAACAAGTGGAACACTTTGGAACCAACATGCATGGTCAAGCAAAGTACTAAGTGACTGCACAGCTGTAGCACCACCTGCTCCCAGTAGGATCCCTTAGGCTGGGAGAAGTAAAGTCACTCGGGGGTCTGTGAGACACAGGGAAGCAGGCAAGGCCCGACACTTGCCTGCCACACCTGCTGACGGGCGAGCACTTGTTGCTGCAGCTCTTCCACCTGCCTGCGTCCTGCCAGGACAGCACTGGCCAGTTCCTGGTTCTTGGCCTCCTGTTTCTGTACATGATGTTGCAGGGTATCCCGCTGCTGCAGGAAGTAGGGTGCCATGGCACTGCACAGGTCCTTCTCTGGGATTCCACTAGGTCGCCTGGGGGGGGGGCACACGGAGCCCAGGGGACAGGGAAGGAAGAACATAAGTGTGGGAGGTGTCTAGCTCAAAATCCAATCAGCAATATCCTTACTTCCAGTTCTGAGCTGGGTAAGCTCCCAAGGCCTGTCTTAGGGTTCCTTTCACCTCCCAAGACCTGCTCCTCATGGGAATGCTGGCCTCCTGTCAGCAATGATTGGGGACATATCTCCCGACTTCTTCACTCAGTCTACCCCCTACACCCCACCTTGTCTACCATACACTCCCATCTCCAACACTAAGACTGACAGTGACTTTAAAGACCTTGCCTCTGGGCAATAAATAAAGTCAAATGCCAAAATTTTATCATCTGGATGCCTCAAATCCTAATGAGAAATGAATGCTTTTTAACAAAAAAAAATTTTTTTTTTTTGTCTTTTTGAGACAGGGGTCTCCCTGTAGCCACAGCGGGCCTCAATTTGCTATGGAGACCAGGCTGGCCTCGAACTCACAGAGATCCACCGGCCTCTGCCTCTTGAGTGCTGAGATTAAAGGCATGCACCACCGCACCCAGCAACAAAAATAATTTTAAAGTGCTGTTACCATGACTTATCTTTAACAAATAATTAGTTTAAACTGGTTAAGAAAAAACAAGACTGGGGCTGGAGAGATATCTCAGTGGTTAAGAACACTGGCTGTTCTTGTAGAAAACCTGGGTTCGAATCCCAGCACCCACATGGCAGCTAACAACTGTCCATAACTCCAGTTCCAGGAGATCCAACAGCCTCTTCTGTCCTCCACCAGCATTGCACGACACGGGTGCATTTTACCTACATGCGGGCAATATACACACACACATAAAATTAAAAAAAATTAAAAAATTGAAAAAAAAAAAGACTATCAATATATTTTACCTGTCTTTAGTACTGTTAGATATTTAAAAAGCCATATATATGTTTTCTACTTTTACCAGCATTAAAGAGAGTATGCCTTCAATCCACAGAGTCTCACTGCAGTGCTGTCAAATACTCCATATTGTCATCCAAAGAATCTTTTCAATGGAACAGTCAATTTAGGAACTTAGGTGGAATTGATCCAGTAATTCACTCAAAGCCACCAATTTAGTAGCTGCAGGCAAATATCACTGAAGTGTTTTTCTGATAATTCACCTCTCAATGATTGGTAAAGTAAGGGGATAAACAGTAAAATGGATTTTAAGAAAGAAAATGTTTACCATTAAAAACTATTCACTTTTTATTTTATGTGTATAAGTGTTTTGCTGGCATGTACACGTAGGTGTACCCATGCTGTACAATGCTCACAGGGGACAGAAGACGGCATTAGATCCCCTGGAACTGGAGTTATGGTGGTTAGCTGCCATGTGGGTGCTGGGATTCGAACCTGGGTCCTCTGTAAGAACAGCCAGTGTTCTTAACCCTTGAGCCATCTGTCCAGCCCAAGATTATTAAATTTTTAAGGCCAAAATTCAATACCCTGAGGTAAAATTAATGCCTTAGTATTACTTACAACAAAAAAGTTTTCTTGAATGGTAATTTGCTTAGGAAAACTTATGTGATTACTAAAAATTCAGAATTAGGAGCAGAATCTTCCTGGAAGGATAAAGAAAACCAGAGGATTTCATCAACTGAATAAAGAAACATCACATCAAACACTCCATTCAACTGGAGAATAAAGACTGTATCTAGATATTCTAACTTACTCCTATACAACAAAATTTATAGAGGTGAACTTTAAGAGTCTCATGCACCAACTTCATCTAAGGGCTCATCCATGTGGACTTCAGAGATGCTCTATGAGACTTGTCTTCACCTGACAATCAAGTAAAGCCAGTGACTAGAAGGTTTTTCATTTTTTATACCTTAAAGTCTTTTATACTTAGCTATTAATGGTTTCCTTTATCTAATATTTCACTTAGTATATTCCTAAATGATAAAACAATGTTAAAAAAAAAGGTTGAACATTTAAAAAAATTTTTGCATTATTTAAAAGAAAAATGACCTTGCTTCTGTCCTTGTGGTGCATTACACCATCAGAATATGAGCTGAGAGATCACGGGTGGAGGGAAGGAGGGAAGGTGTGCTTTCCCAAATAGGACAGTTTCTCAGAGAGGCCCTGTGAGAGCTGCAGATGTAGACAGATGAGGAAAGATGTTTGAGGCACCTAGTCAGTGAGCAAACACCACTGTAGGGTCTGCTACAAATTCCTTTTCAGTTGTAAAACTTAATTTTCTTAACAATTAAGAACGCAAAGCATTAAAAGAAGAGAGGACCTCAAGATGGCTCAGTAGGACCCCAGGCAGAGGCAGGCAGATCGATGTGAGTTCGAGGCCAGCCTGGTCTACATAGTGAGCTCCAGGCCGGCTGGAGTTACACGGAGACCCTGTCTCAACAAGACCAAAAAATAAAAGAAAAAACTGCTCTGCTTGCTACTTAGGGTTCTTTGGGCTGACTGAGCCAGAAGGCCCCTAGCCAAGCACCCAACTGGTATTTTAACCTGCGTAGAGCCACCTACTTGGATGGTGGGCTACCTCTGTTGACAGCCCATCACAAGCGAGGGGCCAAGGATACCCTGCTTCTAAGTCCAGGCCACCTGCTGATCCCCAGCCTCCCTGCCCTACTTCCCCCTGATTATATACCTGTGAGGTCCATCATAGGCCCTGAACCCTGGACCCTGTACCTGCCCCTCCCCTTGGCCAGGGTAGCTCTGAGCCCTGCTTACCATGAGCAGACCCCTTTCTGGTGATCACCTACAGCCTCCAACTTGGGAATTTGGGGCTTAATTTTCTGGTTAAAGAAAATAAAAGTAGTGCTTGCTTCAGCAGCATATATACTGAAATTGGGAATGACAGATAAGATTAGCACAACACAGGTGCACCCACCTACATGCAGGCATTACATTCATACACATAAAAATAAAAAAAAATCAAATATTTTTTAAATGCCATGCCATTATTTTTTTAAATTAAAAAAAATTTTTTTAAATGGATATGAGTATTTTTCTTGCATGTAAATGTAGCCATGCATGCTTTTTTGTTTGTTTTTATTGTTTTATTTGGGGGTTTTCATTTTTTGTGTTTTGGTGATTTTTTTATATATATATATATTTTTTTGTCTTTTTTTAGACAGGTTCTCCTTGTAGCCCCAGCTGTCCTGGAACTCACTATGTAGACCAGGCTGGCCTCAAACTCACAAAGATCCACCTGCCTCTGCCTCCCAAGTACTGGGATTAAAGGTGTGCGCCACCACTCGGCCTAGATTTTTGTGATATTTTATTATTTTTATGTGTATGAGTGTATTGCCTGCATGTGAGTGCACCTGTGTCATGCAATGCTGCGGAGGTCAGAAGACAGCTTCGGATTCTCCTGGAACTGAAGTTAAGGACGGTTCATAGCTGCTGGGAATTGAACCCAGGTCCTCTGCAAGAGCAGTCAATACTCTTAACCGCTGAGCCATCTCTCCAGCCCCTGTGTTTTTTTATTTTAAAGACAGGATCTCCCTGTAGCCCCTGCTAGGCTGGAATTTTCTATATAGACTAGGCTGGCCTCAGTCTCACAGAGATCCATCTACCACTGCCTCTCAGCACTGATAAAAGGTGTGTGCCACCACCAAAACTAGTGAAGATTCATTTTATTTTATGTGTATGAGTGTTTGCCTGCCTGTGTGTATGTGGGCCAAGTGGGTACCCAGTGCACAAGGAAATCAGAAAGTGTCAGACCCCCCTAAAACTGGTATTACAGAGGGTTGTAAGCGACCATGTGGGTGCTAGGAACCAAACCCAGGTCCTCTGCAAGAGCAGTAAGTGCTTTTAACCACTGAGCCATTTTTCCAGTATACTACCCCCCACTCCACACGCACTTTTTAAAAGAACGAGTACAAAAACAAAAAAACAACAAAACAACAAAAAAAGAGGAAGGTACCCAGGCTGGGCCTGGAGGGACGGGTCTGTAATCTCAAATACTTGGGAGGGTAAAGCTAGAGGATCAAAAGTTTACAGCCAGCAGCCAGGTGTGGTGGTGGATCTCTGTGAGTTTGAGGTGCCAGTCTTGTCTACATAGTAAGTTTCAGGCCAGTCAGGGATACACAGTGAGGCCCTGTCTCAAATAATAAAACAAACAAAAACCAACAAAAGTTTATAGCCAGGCTGAGCTACAGAGTGAGTTCAAGGCCAGCCAGGAGAACTTAGTGAGACCTTGTCTTAAAATGAAAATAGAAACAGGACTGAGGATACAGATCAGCAGTAGAGTGCTGGGTTCAATTCCCAGTACAAAAGATAAAGACAGGAAAAAAAAAAAAAAAAAGGGTATATAGTGCCTCTGAACTTTGCTGGGATGCTGTAGCACACGTAGGGAAAAGATAGGGGCAGGAAGTGGAAGGCTGGAGCCCAGGCTGCTGTGGTCATGATGCCTTGTGCCCTGCACTCTTAACCCAGTCTCTACTTCTCTCTCCTGCACATAGCAGATCAGACAGTCATGCTGCCAACTGAAAGGCCAGCAGCAGACGGCAGTTTTGTTTCTCACTGAATGTCTGGATCTGGATTCACATTGAGCACTGAGTACTTGCTTCCCAAGTGTTTGCTGAATGGACAAATAAATCAAAGCCATGTGCCCGGCCACCTAATCTGTCCACAGAACCAAATCCCATCACCTGGCCTCCTCCCTGTGCCTTCCCCTCTCCTTGCTCCCACAGGCCCCAGGAAGGCCTCCTCACCATGGCCTCTAATCATCTTTTTTCTCTAAACCCCTGAACATCAGGCATGTGCCTTGAGGAGCCTCAAGGAGTCCTGGAAGGAACTCTGCTTTTCAATTGCTTTTGGTTACTGCTCTATGCTTGTCCTTCCTACTTACCCCTGTAACCCCTGTCAAAGGGGTCTCTCTCTCTCCTCCCTGTCTCTCTTTTGAAACAGGTTATCACTGTACAGCCCAAGCTGGCTATCAATTCAAGATTTTCCTGTTTCTGGGCTGGAGAGATGGCTCAGGGGTTAAGAGCACTGGCTGCTCTTGCAGAGGACCCAGGTTGCATTCCCAGACCCACATGGCAGCTAACAACTGTCCATATTTCTAGTTCCAAGGGATCCAATGCCTTCTTCTGACCTCTGCAGGCATTGCACAACACAGGTGCACTTACATATACAAAGATAAAATACTCATACATATAAAATAAAAGTAATAAAATATTTTTCAAAAAGATCCTTCTGTTTTTGCCTCCTGAGCTGGTATTATAGGTGTGTGCCACCACATCTGGCTCAAAGGATTCTCTTTTCAGGGCGATTCTCATTCTCTGGCTCAGCGACCCAGATATGGGTCAGTCTCAGTCTCTTCCAGATGCTGAAGCGCCCTCCCCATCCCCTCTCCATCCCCTGTTCCCACCCTCCATTCTCACCAGGCTGGTTCCTTATGGTTTTTGCCTTCTTCTATAATCTTATCCAAAGAGTTCAAGACAGCTTCTAGGTTCCCTTCCTCTTTAATTTCTGAGATCTCCTCCTAAATAGAAAGGAAAAAAGATCTGTAATGACACTGGATGTTCCCACAGTGGAAATATGCTAAATTGTTAACAGCAATTAGATTCTGACTCTAGAAATTTCACCTTCCTGAATAGTCCAAATTCTCTACTATATGACATTTATAATTAAGACAATAAAATATAAAATGGCAAACACTGAAAAATAGCCCATAGCCGGCCTCTTCCCTTGCCCGTCACGTCTCTCCTCCTCTGTTGCTATGTACCTGTTGTTAATGGCTTAACAGGACCATCCTTGAGTAACAGCACCGGAACGTGACTCCCTAGGGATATCACAGTGACTTAAAGATATGAGTGAACCCATCCTCTTGGGCCTTTGCAGTAGTATCCAGTTTATTAAATGCCTCTTCTGTGCCTTGGCCCAGGAGCTGGAGGTGCAAAGGTACCTTGCCCTCTTTGAGATCACAGGCTGGTATGGCAGACAACTTATAAACACACAATTATAATAAAGGACAATGAGAGAAGGGGGTATTTAAGGTCCTACATTGTTTGAAGGGGTAACTGGTGCTGCTGCACCTATAGCAGAGTTCTAGGGGCTGAGCAGACAGAGGGCATGGGGTCACTGCTCTCAGGAGACTGAACGGAAAGATGAAACCTAAGCGGAAAGGACCTTCTGGGTATCTTGCCACTTACCCGGATGGATGTCTGCAACTGAGTTACAAATTTGTCATAGACCCGCTGTGTCATCTGAGGCTGCAACTGGTGGAAGTGGTTGTAACAGTCGGTGAATCTCTGGTAGCTGTCAGGGAGACAGGCAAAGCTGGGGAGGTCAAGCATTCAGCCAGTCACCTCTGTGCTTATTCACAAGACTCCACTTTGTCACTCCTGTGCTACTAGTGGCTGTGGATATAGATCTGTTCCCTGTAGCTCCAGTCATAAGTGGCCTGCCCCTAACTACAACCAGGGCTCTAGAAGCATTTAAAAGTAGGTCATGGGGCTTGAGAGATGGCTCAGTGGTTAAGTGCACTTGCTGCTCTTACAGACTACTGGGGTTCTGTTCCCAGCACCCACAGAGTGGCTCACAACCACTCACAACTTCAGTTCCAGAGGATCAAACACCCTCTCTGGCCTTTGTAGGCATTGCTTGTATGTAGTATACTTATACACGTGCATGCATACATACATATAAAATAAAATTTTTTAAAATACTGCCAGGCACAATTTTAAACCCAGCATTCAGAAGGCAGAGGCAGGTGGATCTCTGTGAGATTGAGGCCAGCCTGGTCTACACAGTGAGTTCCAGGCCAGCTGGGGCTACAGGGAGATCCTGTCTTGAAACAAAACAAAAACCTAAAAAAGTAGGTCATGGGCTAGGGATATAGTTCATTTGGTACAGTGCTTGCCTAGCATGAATGAAACCCTGGGCTTGATTCCCAGCACTGCATAAAACCAGGTACACACTTGTAATCCTAGCACATAGGAGAGGCAGGAGGATCAGAAGTTCAAGGTCATTTTCAGCTACACAGTGATTTCAAGACCACTATGAGACACTGTCAAACAAACAAACAAACAAACAAAAAAAAAAACACGAATAAACAAGTAAAATAAGTCCTGATGAGACTATCCCAGCAGTGTCACCTGTAATTCAGCTACTCAGGCTGGACAAGAGGATCACTTGAGCCTAGAAGTTCCCAGTACCCACATGGCAGCTAACAACTATCCATAACTCCAGTTCCTGAGGATCCAATGCCCTTTTCTGGCCTGCATAGGCATTGCACGACACAAGTACACTTACATACATGTGGGCAAAGCACTCATAAACACACACACACAAATAAAATTCCCAGAAGAGATAGGGAGGCAGAGGCAGGTAGATCTCTGTGAGTTCCAGGACAGCTGGGGCTACAGGGAGACCCTGCCTCAAAAAGACCAAAAAAATAAAATAATAAAATAAAATTCAAAAAAAATTTTTGAAAGATACCCAGGACAGGTATGGTGGCTCATGTCTTTAATCCCAGCACTTAGGAGGCAGATGAAGATAAATCTCTGTGAAAGTTCCAGGCCAGCCTGGTCTACATAGTGAGACTGTCTCAACAAAAGCCAAAGGAAAAAAAAAGGCACTGACATCAACCTCTGGTCTACACACACACAGTGCACCTGCACACACATGAACAAGTACACACACAGACACTGCACATACATACAAGAAGGCATACCCAGTATATTCTCAATGAGTCCCCTTCCTGCTCCCCTCCTCAATGTTTTAGTTTTTGGTGCTGGGCAGTGACCCCAGAACAGCCTATGCACCTCAGGCAGCCTATGCGCACACCACTGAGCTACATTCCCAGTCCTCTGTTTTCTCACTTGTCTCTCTCAGACCTTTCCCCTTCAAGATGTATTTATTCTCTGAGCACTTGCTTGTTTTATGTCTGTTGCCCACTAGGCAGTGGGTGTAGCACTCCTGCAGCTGCCAGTATGGAGGGAAAGATGGCAGCAAACACAGACCTCACGTGGAAGTGGCAGTGAGCACCGCAGAGATGGGTTTGAAAGGCCAGCTATGGCTCAGGTCTGCTGTACATGTTGGGGGCAGGAAGACACAGCTTCCCATCTTCTAAGGAGTAAACATTTTGTCTTAGTATACTTTGGTGGCTAAGCCCAGATATCAAAAGGACAATTCAAAGGACAGACACTGGGAATCCTTCCAACCCACAGCAAAGCTCTGGCCCTACCAGCCATGCAGTCTGTGGCTACAGAGAAGAATGTGGAGGGATAAATGTTGCCTGACCAAGTGGGCTGGAACTGAAATGGAGTAATTGTAGCTTGAACACCAGAGCTCCTGTTTCTCTTTGCAGCCCACTCAAGGCAGCAGAGGGCACAAGCTGACCACATCTCTCCTCAGTTCCACAGTGGACAGAACCCAGGACAGGGACGAGGCAGACTCTATTCACACTGTTACTTGAGAACTCTTCTGGGTCTCTTATAGAATTCCATAAGCATGAAGGACCCCAGAAACACACATTTCACAAGATGGGCTACACCCTACACAGGACCAGGCAGGACTTACCCAAGAGAGCAAGAGAGAAGGCAGTCAGACTGGGAACCGATAACCACCAGTACAAGAGGAAATCGGTGCGCTCTCTCTCTCTCTCTCTCTCTCTCTCTCTCTCTGTTATCTCTGTGTGTGTGTGTGTGTGTGTAGGTCAGAGGACCCACCACATAGAGATCCAACTCAGGCTTGATGACAGCTAAGCTATCTCACTGGCCCTGAAACCCTGTCTCTTAAGAAAAAGTTTTAAGTCAAACATGGTGATATATGCTTACCATCTCAACACTCAAAGGCTGAGGCTAAGGAATTAAGAGTTCATAGCCTCAACTACATAATGAATTTATATCCATCTTGAGCTTTATAGCAACACATAGTCTCAAAAAAAA